GTAGGCCCCGCCTGTTAGGTAAGGGCAGGGGCTGGAGGGGCTGGAGGGGGCAGGAGGGGCAGGAGGAGGCGGGAGGGACAGGAGGGGGCAGGAGGGGCAGGAGGGGCAGGAGGGCCTAGAAGGGCAGGAGGGACAGGGGGCCTGGAGGGGCCGTGCTCCTGCTCTGTAACCTGGATCCCAGCCTGAGCCAGGAGGATGCACGTGTTCCTTAAATGTCTCATTATTATCCAAACGTTTCATCTTCTTAAATGCCCTGTGTACCCAGCATGGACTCAAACCCTGCCCTGCGGACAGCGGAGCACAGGGACCTCACTGCGGTTTGTCACTCTCAAATGCTCGGCTTGCCAGGGCCCCGCGGATGTCAGGGTGAGCCTGGCAGGAGGGCGGGTGAACGCCATGAGCCGGCTGCAGACACCAGGATGTTCGAGGCAGCAGGAAGACCTCCAGAGTCCGCCTCGGCCCCGGCCCCGCCCCACCTGGCTGGCACACCGCAGTCCCTGGCCTCCTGGCCACCAGCAGGCCTGCCCAAGGCCAGGGCCACCCTATGGGGTTGTCATGCACACGAACTAAAGCAAGGGATGACAAAAGCCACACGAGCCATCCGCACAAATGACAAGGACACCCCCAGGCCACGGGCATGCTCACCCACCTCCCTGGCGCCTCCCAGGGTGCCCAGACTGAGACGCTCAGCCTGCCATGAGCATCCCCAGCTCCTTTCCCAAAGACAGCTCGCCGTCCCTCTGCAGCCAGACCACGTGCTGTGGCCCTCACCTCTAGCGCCCTGACTCAGAATGCACCCAGGACCCCATGTCCCTGCCTGAAAAGGAAGGTGTCCCCAACCCCAAGGACCACGAGTCATAGCCTGTGAGTCCCACACGGCCACGGTGACAGGGTCGGAGGTTCCTGGTCTGCCTCCCCCTGCAGAGGAAGCTGAGAGGTGGGACCGTCCCACTGTCCTGACACGTGGACAGGACCAGGCCTTCCAGGAATTCCAGCCTATTTCTCTGGATGCCCAGAGCTGCCCAGAACGCTGACCTCAGCCCAGCCCTCTGCATGGGTGGGAAGGGAATGTGGGGAGACCCTGAGGTGGGGTGGCTGCTCCAGGTGCAGGGGCTGAGAGGGAAGCCCCAGGCTCAGCAGAGGGGCTCCCGCCCGGCAGCCTCTCAGTGAGCTTTCACCTTCTGGGTCCTCAGCCTCTTGCAAATGCAGCTCAATTCTTCTCACCTCCCCCACCACATCCCACTGCGCAAGCCAGAGGTCACTGGGCCTTGCACAGGTGGGCCATGAGAGCAGAGGAGGTGACAGAGCCTGTGGGGGCCTGGGGACTTGAGACCCCTGAGCTGCGACCTTGGGGCTTCCTCACTCCAGGCCGGTAATTCCCCTCCACTGGCTCACCTGGATGGTGCTCCCCCAGGCCCTGCAGCCCCTCTGGCGGGTGCACACACACATTATTCTTGGAGTAGATGATTTCTCCGTCCAGGATGGAGCAGGCCCCACCACCGCCACCGGGGGTGAGGGTCAGGAGGTCCGAGGCTCTGGAGGAGGCCCGGCGAAGGAGGCGGCCCAGAGACATTGCCGGCGAGTGCTTCCATCCTCTGCATGCGCCGGCGCTGGCCCAGGCGGGGCTCGTCC